CTCTATCTAAATTTTATTATTATGTAGGAAAATTTGTTGGTCAACATAAAAGTTCGCAGACTAAAATGGATATCATAAATTCATTAGTTTATTTAATCGAGCATCACAAATAAGTGACATGTCTATTTGTCGGGATAGGAATGTCACTTGTAGTGTTGTACTCGTTTATTTAAAATATCGTCAATATGAGCTTGGTTCGGTCTCATACTTTCAAAATTAAACAATTAATTTTTTAAAAAATATATATTATATTAAATCAAATACATTCTTTCTCAATTTTAACGGCTGACATGGAGCTGCAAGGTTTTCCTTATTATCAGTCCATGTAGGTAGGGGTCCTTCAGTACTGTTTTCAATAGAGTTTTGCTTCGCACGGACATCCAGCTTCTCCTCAATCGCAGAAACAATATTTTTAGGGGGAGGTCCACAGGGGTAATTAAATCAAACGTCAAATCTTATTCTGTGGTAGTTTTCTCTTCAGGTAGAACAAATATGTCTAGAGCTGTGGGGTTTGATCAATCCTTATTCACTTGATCTTTAGATTTCTAATTAGGATGAAACTTATGACATTTATCAAGGATATGCCCAAACATCTTACAATAAGAACAATAAGGTCCCATGAAGTTTTGTTGCCAATATCCATTATGAGTTGTGCACAACCAGAATTTAGTAACATCAGGTAAAGTAATATCTCTTCCCACAAGTATTATGGTCATAGAAAGTCTGGTAAGATTAAAAGTGGGTAGATCTAGCTTCATAGGGTCCCAAAGTATGATCCTAATAGACTAAATAACCTGATGAGCAGGTAGACTAAACCTTACCGGTACAGTAAAAGGTTCATGATTGGGGTCAAAATCAAGATATCACTTGGGTAGATTCATTGATTTACCAACAATATTAAGATATTTTTTGAAGAAAACCCAAGTGTAGTATTAAGTCATGGTTAATTGAATCAATATATGTTTCCCATCCATGAGCCTCACTTTCCACTTTCCTGCTAATTTGAGATCATCAAAACTTTTTCTGATAACTTCCATAGGTGGGTGGCCCCACAGAAATTTTCTAATAACAGTAAACTTGAATTTCCCAATCAGGGAAAAAAAGTGTTGCTTTCTCAATTTTCCTGCTTGCATTCTTAATAAAGGGGCAGTCACCTGTACCATCACAATATTTTTTATAACTTGAGCTGAAGACAACCGCCATCTCCACCTGATTTACCACAACTTAAACTTTTTCTGATAACTTCCATAGGTGGGTGGAGCCTTTGACATTTATCAAGTGTATGCCCAAACATCTTACAGTGGGTACTATAAAAAGGTTTATGTTCCATGACAATTGGTTGCCAATATCCATTGTGAGTTGTTCCCAGTCAGACTTCAGTAATAGCAGGTAAGGTAATATCCATTCCCACAAGTATTCTGGCAACAGAAGGCATGATCAGGTTAAAGGTGGGCATATCTAGCTTTATAGGATCTCCAAAAATTGCTCCAATAGAATAAAAGACCTGATGATTAAGGAAATGCAACTTATCAATTTGTTAGCCGGCTTCCTTCCGAGAACTAAAGGCAGAGTGAGGATTAAAGTGGAACGTTCCTAGCGCTTTTGCGCCCGTTGGTGATTTTTGATTTTTTTATCTTTATGTATTTTTGCTTTATTTGAGATTTTGTGTGTGTTGTATTGTGTGAGTTGAACCTTCTTTTAGACTCACTCATACAACTTATATGTATTTTTTTCTCTTTAATATATTAGCCATCGGGCATTTTATAATATGTATATATATATATATATTGTGTGAGTTGGACCTTCTTTTAGCCTCACAGCTCCATTCTTCAAGAAGTATCCGGTGTAGCGACAACTCATACTTCACATATTGTAGTACTTATTGTGGGTATTATTGTTGGTAATACTTCTGCTTCAGCTTTATCCCATCAGGCGGATTCTTCAGAGGAGGAATGACAAGTTTACACTTACTGGAGGAAGAAGAAGAATGAAGATATACTAGAGCTTACTAAATAACCTGATGAGCACGTAGACTAAACCTTACCGGTACAGTAAAAGGTTCATGATTGGGGTCAAAATCAAGATACCACTTGGGTAGATTCATTGATTTACCAACAATATTAAGATATTTTTTGAAGAAAACCCAAGTGTAATATTCAGTCATGGTTAATTGAATCAATATATGTTTCCCATCCATGAGCCTCACTTTCCATTTTCCTGCTAATTTGATATCATCAAAACTTTTTCTGATAACTTCCATAGGTGGGAGACCCCAGAGAAATTTTTCAATAAGAGTAAACTTGAATTTCCCAATTAGGAAAAAAAAGTTTTGCTTTCCCAATTTTCCTGCTTGCATTCTTAATAAAAGGGCAGTCACCTATACCATCACAATATTTCTTATAACTTAAGCTGAAGACAACCGTCGTCTCCACCTGATTTACCAACAACTTAAACTTTTTCTGATAACTTTCATAGGTGGGTGGAGCCTTTGACATTTATCAAGTGTATGCCCAAACATCTTACAGTGGGTACAATAAAAAGGTTTATGTTCCATGACAATTGGTTGCCAATATCCATTGTGAGTTGTTTCCAGTCAGACTTCAGTAATAGCAGGTAAGGTAATATCCATTCCCACAAGTATTCTGGCCACAGAAGGCATGGTTAGGTTAAAGGTGGGCATATCTAGCTTCATAGGATCTCAAAAAATTGCTCCAATGATTAAAGAAATGCAACTTATCAATTTGTTAGCCGGCTTCCTTCCGAGAACTAAAGGCAGAGTGAGAATTAAAGTGGAACGTTCCTACCGCTTTTGCGCCCGTTGGTGATTTTTGATTTTTTTATCTTTATGTATTTTTGCTTTATTTGAGATTTTGTGTGTGTTGTATTGTGTGAGTTGAACCTTCTTTTAGACTCACTCATACAACTTATATGTATTTTTTTCTCTTTAATATATTAGCGATCGGGCATTTTATAATATATATATATATATATATATGGCAGAAGCAGCTTTATAAAGAAATCTTTAATCTAAAAATTAAAATGAAAAGAATTATTTTTAATTTTTTAACACTTTCATTGCCAGTCTCAAGCCCGGATGTGCAAACCCGGATGTGCAAAGTGAAGGCTTGCGTTAGGTAGTCGACACCCAATATAAAACTTGTCCAAAAAATCATAACATGATGTGCATAATTCTCTTATTTATTTATTCTTGTAAGAACTAAAGCTTTGATAATGCTCAACCGGACAGGCAGACATGCATGAACATTCCAAATTGGAAAATAAGTAATGATTTGGATTAATGGTGGAGGGACAATGATCGATACCTGAGACCAACCAGGATTATAACGTGGGGAAAACTAAGTACTAACGAAGTTTGTCAATCAAGCAAGCAATGTTCTTGCGTATTGGAGTGCATGTTAGCTCACCGAAGCTCACCTAACAAATTTGGAAAGGGAACCTAACCACCATTTATTAACATTTCAATGTCGTGTTCATTCTAAGCAACGTTCGGCATTATAATGATTTTTTGTCTTGTCAGTTAACTCACATCATTGCCTTCACCAATAATTGATGAAGCATTTTGTTAGAAACATTTAAGGGGAATTTAAATACCTGCCCTACCACCCAATTTCGGTAAATTTACATATCTAACATCTAAACTTTGGTTTTTGACAAACTTTTCAAAATTTAGATATGTAATGTTTAGTTATAGAGTACAAACTTTTGATTGTTATAATGATTAGATAACAATAGTCTAGACTATGATGGTAATAAGAAGGTTGTTGTCTACAACTGTCATGAGATAATAGTAAGCAATAACAGTCACAAGTGGTAGTCAACGATAATTGTTGGCGGTTGTTTGCTTCAAGTTTTCTTCAATGTGAAAACTTAACGCTTAGTTTCTTTTTGTGTCATGTTGAAAAGGGAATCCTATTTATGAAGTTTTAGAAGAGCATTTTGATAAGTTTGTCAAAAACTCAGAACACTCCACATGCGATGCATTTTAATTCATTATTATATGTTATTTTTCTTGTATTTAAGTGTGTTAATGACCTCAAAATTAAGTAATTTTGGGCTTGTTAGATTTCTCCCATTGAGACACTCAATTTGATCAAAGTTTTAAGATGTTTAATTATAATTCAAATTTTTTATCGCAACCAACAAGCTGTTAGGTTTGATGGGAGAGAACAGAGAATCAATAATCAACACCCAATGGCTATGCTAAATGATAAGCATAAACAAACTACATGCTTTATTATCACGGTAAATGAAGAACCAAATCATGAAATATAAAACAGGAATTCACTCTAAGCAGGAGTCAGGCACACAATACTGTGATGCGACGTGATGAATTGGAGCAATACACATTTTGCTGCAAGCTTACACTTCACAAGCAAGCCGTAAGCAATGCCACTTATTGTTTTGCTTCGCTCCAATAGTGCATTTTTAACAATGATTTGGTTTCCTGCTTAGCATTACTCTTGGGTTTAAAATATATTATAAACTGTCTCACAATGAAGACGGGATGGTCTTATTCATTAGGATCATGATGGCATCTTTGATGCTTTTTGCATGCTATTCTGAAAACATTGTTGCTTTCACTTTTAATCAGTTCCTTCTTTTGTCTCTACGTAATGATTACATTATTTTTTTTTGCATTCAGGTGACTAGCAGTCAAAGGGGTGTTAATGTATTATTTTATGCTGCCTTGTTTTATTAGTATGCACTGGATCACTATCGTGAATGCATTACTTTTTATTGCCCCCCAACTCCCCCCTACCCCCTACCCCCTACCCAATGGTTTTAAGAAGTTACTTCATAAATATCTGATGCATGGAATTTCTAATGTACTTAGAAATTTCTAAAAATTTATGGAAGACTTTTTGGGGCTTGGAAAGCAAGCTCGTTGTGTGTTCGTGCTTACATAGTTGCATGGTGTTTTGTTCTTTATTTTGTGGTTAGTTTTTGTTGATCAGATACTTTCCATTTGGTTTATGCAGGTCAATAATAGAATTTTCGAGGCTGAGTTTAGATCCAAAAATGAGGGCAGCATGTTTTAGTCCTCGCCTTATGGAGGTTAATGAAAGATTTAATGTAGATTTTTTTCTTTTTTGTTTTTCTTCTTTTTGCTGCTTTTACGTTTTATGTTATTGCTATCTTGTGGGATTTATTTGAGAAACTTATATATTACTCCTTAGTTTTATTCTCTTTCCAACATATTATATGGTGTTATTATCAAAAATCATTATCCAGACTTTCAAATCTCACATTTTTTTTTAACGGTCCCTAAATAGCAAGTAAATATGTGCTTTCCTGATAACCAGTGAATTGATCACCGTCTGGAAAACTATGAGCTGTTGTATATTACATGGTATTCAAATTGCAGTTTTCAATGAAAAGTTTCCCAATTTTTTTTCTAAAGTTCTTGTTTAATTCTTTTTTTGTGAATTTATTCAAAAGTGAGTTGACTGTCTGCACCAATCTTATACATGTATTATGGATGAGGCCGAACCAGCCTCTGGTTCGCTTGAGGCTACAATAATATCTAAGCCGAAACCCAAGATGAGGAGCAAGTTACCATGATGATGAGGAGAAACCCCCAAAAAGGCGTCTAGGGCTTATCATGGAGATATGGATCGAAAAATGCTTCAATTACAGTGTAGGCTCGCTGATTGTGAAAGAAAACAATATAAAAGTTAACCATAGCAACAACAGTGACCGAACGAAAGTTTTCGTCAAGAAGCCTTATGGTATGAAGAACTGATGTAGTGTCGATTCGACATTAAGTATGGGAGGAGAGTGATTTTGGAGTGAAGGTTGTTTTACCAATTTTTTACAATCATATAGATCCAGATAAATTTATTTAGTGGCTCCATACCGTTAAACAAATTATTTAGGACAACAACATTTCATCTAATAAAAGGGTGAATTTAGCTTCAATTAAGTTAAAGAAAAATACATTTTTATAATGTGAAAATTTATAGCGCCTACACCAACTTAAAAGAAAATGCAAGATCACCAACTCGTTGAAGATGAAGGAGACGCATCATGAATACCTCCCAACACAATAAACATGATATATTTGTGAAACTTTGCCACTTATAGTAGAAGAACTTATCAGTAGAGTACACCGCTGTGTTTGAACAACTCATGTTTAAGTGTGAGTTGATGGAGCCAGAGAAGAACATCATAGTTTGATACCTTAGAGAGTCAAGATTATCCTTTAGTAATAAGGTGTTGTCTCCATTGGACCTTGCAGGATGTCTGAACCTTAGCTCAAAGGTGAGAAGCATCACAATAGTATGAGATCTACTTCAACTTCAAACTGGGTTAGGCCATGAGGTTAGGTAGTTTTTGCACTCTAATCAGAGTGCTAAATTTTTCCCCTCATGAGGAGAAGCCGGCAAAGAGGGAACAAGGGTTAATCAGACTAGCACTTCATGATATTCTCAACTAGGAAGCAGTTCAAATGTCGTGGATATTGACACATTACATCCAATTGCCCGAAAAGAATGAATTTTTTACTAAGTATGGTGCAATGGAAAAAGTAAATAGCAAAGACTCTAGAGATGAGGAGAATGGAGATAAGTATCAACTGCCCTTAGATTATGATGATATATGTGGTTTGAGTTCTCTAGACCTAGCCCATCGGAGCAGCAGTGACTTATGCTTAAATTATTTCATACTTGTTTTACTGTGAAAACGAATTTGTGTAGTCTTATTATAAATGGAGACAGATGTGAGAATGTTGTGTTTACTTTGATGTTGGGTAAATTTAGTATAATTAACTAGAATCATTCTCAGTCATGTTCCCTCAGTTGTATAAGAAATGACATCTGTATCTATGAGATATGCCTAATAGAGTTTTCCATTAGAAATAAGCTTTAAGCGCAGGTGTGGTGTGCATTAGGCTTATGGATGTGTATCACATTTTGTTTGCTCAACCATGGAAATATGAAGGCACAATATGATGTTTATAGGAACACATACCTCATAAAAGATGGGAAACACATTGTATTTGTGCCTTTGAAAGAATTGATATTGATGAGTTCTTAGATAGAAGTGGGAATTATTGTTCCACATACTGCATTTCTGTAGGCTATGGGAGGCGCTAGTTGGATTAGTCTTGATGATGTTGGATGACTGTGAGAAGAAAGCGCCAAAAACTGTGGTAGTATGATCTCTTGTAGTTAGGATATTATTATTTACAGCCTACCACCTGGATTACCACAACTGTGTGAAATTCAGCATGACATAGATTTTGTGCCTAGATTAATGCTCCCCAACTAACACCAACCTATCAAATGCAATCAAGAGAGTTGGAGGAGCTACATAAGTAGGTTTATGATTTAAGGATTCAAGAACTAGTTCGTGAGTGTACTAGTTTGTTTTGTACTGGTTTTGATTGTGCCTGTGTCCAAGAATGACCAATCGTGGCTTACGTAATAATAAACAAAAAAAAGATCAATTAAACAAAGTTCTACTTTTACTATATCTGTGGTGTCGTTTGAAAATCTTTACCACCACCCATGAGAAGATTAAGTCGAGGCTATCCCCTCAACTCATTCGAAATCAATAAAGGAAACGGGCGAGAGATATAGCAGTCACGGGAGAGATAAGTAGAGTGAGGTAGAGTAAGTAGAAGCTGAAGGAAAAGAAACAAGAAGAGGCCACAACAGAGGGAAAAGAAGAAGAGAGAGGTAGAGGAGGTGAGCGACTGACCTGGTCGTTTCCCTCCACTGATCATGATCAAATCGAAGGGAAGAAGGCTCCAACAGCCTTATCAAGCAAGAGAGGTAGGCGGAGGAG